AGTGAAAACCCCAAAGAAAAGAGAAGAAATCTTGGGGGAAAATACCAACGGTCATTTGGGAAAAAATTTCCCTCAAATTTTTATTTAATACAACCAAAGAAATATTTCCCCAAAGCTAAAAATTTGGTTTTAAACAATCAAAGGAACATGATTTCACCCCAAAATTAAAAAATTTGGGGCCCGAATGAACTGTACACTTACAAATTTCTTTAAAAAATTTTAAAAATAATCCCTTTTCCCTTTAATTAAGATTTTAGGTTAAAAAAATTTTACAAAAAAATTTAATTTTACTTAAAAAATAAAATTTTTAATGGTTTGATAATTTTACCCCAGAATTTTGTTCAAATGGTAAAAAACAAAATTCCATAGAAAACTGAATAAAAAAGTTTTAAAAGTTTTTTTTTAAAAAGAATTTAAGAGGGAGAAACCTAATTTTAATATTTAAAAACAGTATCAAAAAAGTAATATAAAAAAAGGGAAAAGTTTTTAAACTTGGGGAAGAGGTGTTAGATAAAAATTTTTTAAATTTTTTCCCTGGGAAAGGGGGGAAAATTTCTTCTTAAAATACAATAGGGTTTCTCCCGATTCAAAAGTTAAATTTTACAATTGTACCTGTTTTGGATTCAAAAAATTTCAGTTACCAGATTTTTAGCTTATGCTAAAAAATTTAGAAATTTAACATATTAAAACAAGGGTTTTGCCCAAAAATTTTCTAAAAAAATCAATTTAGGTTAAAATTAAAAATTACTGCCCGTACAAATTTATTAAAAAGAATTTATTTTAAAAAACTGCCCAAATTAAAAGAAAAAAAATAATTTTTGTTTCTTACAACCAGGTTTTTAAATAGTGTCAACCACTATTAAAACTTGGGTACTTTAAAATTAATATTAATGAAATGTCAATGTATTTTTTTTTAAATAAAAATTTAAAAAATTAATTTAAAACAAAATTGCCTTTAAATTTTTTAATGGTTTTTTTTTTCCTTTGTTTAAGGTCTGGTTCCTTGGTCCCCAAAAAAAGAAATGATATTTTCTCTCCAAAGGTAAAAGTAGAAATTTAAAAAGTCTGCTTCCCCCTTTCCCAAAGGGGTTTGGAAAAGTTTTAAAATTAATCGTTTTTTTGGGTCTTTTTTCCCCAAAAAAAAAGGTCTTGCTTCTTTCGTTTTGGAAAAAAAAAAATTAATTGGGAAAATCCCCTTGGGGTTAAAAAACTTTAAAATTTTGTTGTTTTAATTTCCTCTTCTTTTTTTTTTAAAAATTTGGACCCCCCAAAAAAACTTTTCTGTTTTTCTTTTTTGCAAAATTTTTAGGTTTTTTTGGGTTTAAAAAAACCCGTAAAAATTAATCCTTGTTGTTAAAAGATAAAGGGTTGTTTTTCCCCCAAAATTTTCAAGGTTTTAAAAAATTAAAAAATTATAAAAAAAACCCAAAAAAAATTATATCTTGAAAAATTTAAGGATCAGTTAAACAAAAAAAATTTTTAAAAAAATCAGGTTTTCTAAAGGATTTGTTCCAAAATCCAAAAATGGCTTAAAATAAAAAAATTTTGTTAGGGGTTTTAGGTTTTAAAATTTTTCAAAAATTTTCTTTTGGACAAATTAAAAAACTTCAAAAAATCAAAAGTAAAAAGTTAAGATTAAAAAAGAAAAAAGTTTATTTAAAAAGTCACACGTTATCTGTACTTAAAAAATCCAATGCACTGTTTATGGGAAAAATTTTAATCACCATAAATGGGAAAGTTTAAAAATTTAAAATTTCGCCCTTCTCTCTAAAAAAGGCTGGGGCCACTGGCCCCCCCGTTGGGCGCCAAAGAAAATCCTTTGAAAATAATCATTTTTTAAAGGGGGAATTTTAAAGCCCAAGGGGTTTTGGTAGGGTTTTGTATTTTCTTTTATTTTCTGTTGCACAGCATGTATCTTAGACAAAAACTAGTTTAATACCCTTTTTAAAAATCAATCATCTAAGTAACCACACTCTGAAAATACATAATTAACACATTCTAAATATATATTACATTTAACATTCTTGAACTGCATAAATCAATCAATCACAATCAATTGCATAAATCAATCAATCATATTCAATTGCATAAATCAATCAATCATATTCATTCCAGTGGCTTTTAATTAACATCAAACATTTTATCATACAATATCATAAAACACTTATACATATACACACTCACCAGTTTATGGAACTAAGTGTTTACATCAACACAAATACAATATACACTCTTCTCTCTCTCTCTCCAGTGTGCTGTTACTATCCTGCAAATTATAGAAAACAATGTGCATAGAGTTTGAATAGAATGTGAGATTATTTATTTATTAATTGAGAAAAGAAAGATATGATACTGCAATATTTAACCAGTCCTTGGGAGTCCAAAAATAAGACACAGCAACCATTTAAATTACTTATTAAATTCACATCAATTAAAAACAACATTAAGGTAAACAATACTTAATGCTTTGGAAATCATCAAAAGCAGTTTAAACTTTACATACCTTATAAATAATACTGATATTCCATAAATCACAAATATTTAAAACCATGAGGACAATGTACATGTCTCTTCCTCGAAAACGTGAGCTCAACTGAACACAATAGTCACATGATCAAACTGGCGGGAAATCATAACCACTGACCCATAGAATAACACTGGTCCAAGGGAAACAACTCTCTTAATGACATATAATAAAGACTGACAGATTGTGTCCCTGTTACATTGGGATAGTCTTTGGGTGTCTTGGGATAGTCTTGGGGTAGTCTTGGGGTGTCTTGGGGTAGTCTTGGGGTGTCTTAGGGTGTCTTGGTGTAGTCTTAGGGTGTCTTGGGATAGTCTTGGGGTAGTCTTGGGGTGTCTTGGGGTAGTCTTGGGGTGTCTTAGGGTGTTTTGGGGTAGTTTTGGGGTAGTCTTGGGGTGTCTTGGGTGTCTTGGGGTAGTCTTGGGGTGTCTTAGGGTAGTCTTGGGGTGTCTTAGGGTGTCTTTGGGTAGTCTTTGTGTGTCTTAGGGTGTCTTGGGATAGTCTTTGGGTAGTCTTGGGGTGTCTTGGGTAGTCTTTGGGTGTCTTAGGGTGTCTTGGGGTAGTCTTTGGTGTCTTGGGATAGTCTTGGGGTGTCTTGGGGTAGTCTTGGGTGTCTTAAGGTGTCTTGGGGTAGTCTTTGGTGTCTTTGCGTAGTCTGGGGCTGGTCTTGGCGTAGTCTTGGGGTACTCTAGGGGTGTCTTGAGGTAGTCTTGGGGTGTCTTGGGGTAGTCTCGGGGTGTCTTGGGGTGTCTTGGGGTAGTCTTGGGGTGTCTTGGGGTAGTCTTTGGGTGTCTTAGGGTGTCTTGGGGTAGTCTTTGGGTGTCTTGGGATAGTCTTGGGGTGTCTTGGGGTAGTCTTGGGGTGTCTTAAGGTGTCTTGGGGTAGTCTTTGGTGTCTTAGGGTGTCTTGGGATAGTCTTGGGGTAGTCTTGGGGTGTCTTGGGGGTAGTCTTGGGGTGTCTTTGGGTGTCTTGTGGTAGTCTTTGGGTCTTTGGGTCTCTGATCCCCTTTCAAAATTCCATTTTATTTAGTTCCGCCCATTGTTTTCTCGTTTAGGGCACACGCTTTTTATTACTTGGGGACCATACGCCGCTTTTCATGGAATGGCACGGTAGTGTCACATTGAAGGTTCCATGATAACCGCCGTATGAACACATCTGCGGGTGTTTCTAAATTCAAAATTTTACCATTTCATGTTTAAATGTTGAATTCTGCTTAAGCCGGTGCTAGGGGGCGTGGACGGTAAATTGCACTTTCCAGTACCGTCCATGAACAGGCTCAATCAAACCGAGCCTGCAACATTTTCAATTTTGTCGTGTTGGGCTTTCTTTAGGGATTCTGTATTTATCTATTTTGGGTGTCTTAGGGTGTCTTGGGATAGTCTTGGGGTAGTCTTGGGGTGTCTTGGGGTAGTCTTGGGGTGTCTTGGGGTAGTCTTGGGGTGTCTTGGGGTGTCTTGGGGTAAATAGACCGACCCGCCAATCTGATGTGTTTTTTCCAATCATTACCAAGCTTAGCATGTCTGGATCTCATATTTTCATAAATATACTAATAACACAAAAGTAAAAAGTTTCACTTCTGGTTCATTCTCTCCACATATATCTTCTATAAGTTTATCCATTTCATCATCTTCTGGTCTTCGTCTGAAATAAATAAAAATGTTAAAAGGATTAATTAACAACACAATATTGAGCCAATTAAGACAGCGATACAACTCAATCAGTGTACCAGGTGTCATACACTTTTAAAGGAAAAATTTTTTAACAAAATATTTCTTAGTTCTACTGTACATATATTTTTAATTAATTTTAATGTTGTCTATAACTTTTGCATTATAAGATGCTTTACAATCCGTCACACATCTTGATACACATGTAAAGAGGAACATAGTTCTTACATTTTTACAATACTTCAGTGACGAAATTGTATCGATTAACTGTAAATAAAATAGTTCACACAATCCCGCAAGTGAGCCTTTAATACTAATAGTTCATATACAGCCTCAAATGAATTCAGTGAATTTATTTTAATTTAGCTTGTCCAACTGTTGTAATCTGGTCTAACTTTGGGAAGCGTTGACTTTTTTTCTGGTTTAGATTTTTTAACGAATTTATCTTCTACCTCGTCAAGTAAGTCATCTATATCGTCTGCCATGATAAAATAAGGATAACAGGACCTAATTTATAGATGCACTTTCTGCTACTATGCAATTTTAATGTTAAGTAAATTTCAAAATGTTATTTCAAACGGAATAATATTTTTCTTGTAAGATACGTCAAATCGTTTACAATAGGATCTATATATCATGCAATTGTTTTTTCTTTATATTTTACGACACCATGATAATAAGATACCTAAAAATAACGGTTATTAGATAGAATGATATATTAGTGTGCATAATAATTTCGTTCAAATTTTAATTTGCTCTGCGCATGCGCAGTTACACGACTAAAGTCAGATGGGGGGGACACTTTCATTTTTGATTTATATTTGCCATGTAATACATCAGCATATTTCGTGGATATCTCTTTATATGTCATACTATATGTATATATTATTGTATATGTGACTGATGCCTCTATGAGGCCCAGCATTTTCAATAAACTGTTCAAACTGTTCAAACTGGAATAATCTTAAGAAATTTACTTTCGATTGTTTTGATACTAGGAAGCCCTAAAGATGTCAAAATTGGAACAAGTTCTTCTTATTGAACCATCGAATGAACTAGTTTTTCGAGGTAATATCAATATTTTCAGTAAATATTTCTAGTCGGCATATTTTGTGCCAAAATTTTTATATGGACTCCACTTTCGGTATAGATGGATACCGAAAATAAGCTATTTTCGCGAAAATAAGATCGTAAGATTTATTTTTGAAATAGTGCATTTATCTGTTGGAATAATTATGTAAGTAATATACTTATTCATTTATTGAATCATTTTACAGCAAATTAAAATTTCAGAACAAAAAAAAATATTTTAAAAAGTGAAATTTGAGCCGAAAATACTCTCACGAAAATAGCTCAAATTGCCGTGTAAAGCGAAAATAAGATCGGGTCTACGAAAATAAGATTTATCTTTGATATAATGTATTTAAAACGTATTTTTGTTGTTTGTTTGTATGAATGAAATTATAAAGAATGAAATATTAAACGTTTGTTCGGTAAATATGGTAAATATCCCAAATAGTATAGAAAGAAGGCATGCGAAAATAACCCAAGATGGCGACTACGAAAATAAGATCATAGCTTATAAAATTGTATTAATTGCAAAAGTAAATTTTTTGTTATAAAACAAGAAAAGGTAGTTGAGTGAGAAAGCATCAAAATAAAGCAAGAATTAACAAGTGCGAAAAAAAAACACCCAGAAACAACTACTACAAGAATAAAATCTACTGTATATAGAATATGTACGAAATGAAAATCTATACAATATTATACGAAAATAAGATCTGTAAACTTGTACGAAAATTATGTACATACGAAAAAAAAGTTATACGAAAATAAGACCTCTTAGTAAAATAATACCTGTTTGAAAATAATATATGTATGAAAATACTTATACTTGCACGAAAATTAGATCCAATTGAAAATCATGATGATCTATACGAAAATAAGATCTGTAAACAATTAAAACCTGAATGAATTGATATTTGTACGAAAACAGATCTAATTGAAAATATGATTTTTGTCAAATAAGATATATATACGAAAATGAGATACGTTAAAAAAAATACCTGCTTGAAAATACTATATGTACGAAAGTAAGATCCTATTGAAAATGTGATCTATACGAAAATATGATCTGTAAAAAAATTACTGTATGAATTGATATCTGCACGAAAATAAGATCTCTGCAAACATAAAATTTGTATTAAAATAATTTTTTCAACTAAGATTTTTACAAATATTTTTATAAGGCCTGTGAATATGAAATACGAAAATAACACAAATGTATTTGTATGAACATAATATCTGTCTTAGAATGATACGAAAAAAGATCAAAATCTGTAAACAATAAGATATCTAGCTATATGAAAATAAAATATCAATATGGAAATGATTTTTACCAAAATAAAAGATAATTTAAAATACGTGTAATATAAAAATAATATCTACATTTAGTAAAAGATCAGTATAAAACTTTATTGCTTTAGTGCTTTAATTAGCTAATGCACGGACAAGATCTTTTTATTTGAGAGAAGGAAACAATTATACAACGTATGACACGTGTACATGGCTATCGGCAGCAATCAATGCGCTAATACGAGATTGGATTATTGGATTTTCGCACTTATCGTAATTGACACACACTTATTAATGCCCATCATTAAAGGTGTTTATTGGCGATTTATCACAGTCACCATATCAAAATATAGATATCTTATTTTTTACAGATTTTTGTTATCATACAGATATATTTATACTCAGATCTTATTTTCGTTAAAGATTTTATTTTATAAAGACAGTCATTTTCACATAGAGTCGTTTTTCACATCATTCTGATCCAGATATTATTATCATATAAATATCATTTTCGAATAAATCTTATTCCTATACACACATTATTTTCGTACAGAGGTTATTTTCGTACAGATCTTATTTTCGTATAAATCTTTTTCGAAAACAGACATTATGATCAAACACATCTTATTTTCGTATTGATCTTATATTCGTGGTATTATTCTCTTACAGATCTCATTTTTATCGTATAGATCACATTTCCTATAGGATCTTATTTTCGTATATATAGTATTTTCATACAGGTAATATTTTTTACATATCTTATTTTCATATGTATCTTACTTTTGTAAGGATATTATTTTCATTTCACAGATCTTACATTTGTAAAAATCTAAGTCGAATAGAGACATTATTTTAATACAGATCTTATTTTCGTATACATCTATTTTCAATAGGATCTTATTTTCGTACATATAGTATTTCCATACAGGTTTTATTTTCAAATAAATATCATTCATACAGGTTTTAATTGGTTTTACAGACCTTATTTACTAATAGATCTTATTTTCGTAACCCTATTTTCGTATTAACATTATTTTCATACAGCTTTTATTTCCTTACAGATCTTATTTTCGTAGAGTACTGTTTAGATGTTATTTTCGTACGGTACATATTCTTATATAGATTTAGATCTTATTTTCGTAGTCGTTGTTTCAGGTTATTTTTGCACTTGTTCTTTCTTTTATTTTGATTCTTTTTCACCGCAAACATTTCTTATCTTATAAGAGAACATTTAATTCTTAAAATTTATTTGCAAAATCATTAAAAATAAAGTTAATACTATTTTTAATATAAGTTATGAACCATGTAAATCTTATATAGCCTATATTTTCGTAGACGCAATTTTGGTTATAATGTTCATGAATGCGTTCTTTCTATACTAAATTTGGAATATTTACCCACGGATTTATATGTACCATATTTGCCGCACAGACGTCTAATATTTCATTACAAAACATTTCAATCTTTATTATTTCATTCATACAAATCATTTGATAACACCAAAAAATACGTTTTAATACATTATATCAAAAATAAATCTTATTTTCGTAGACCCGATCTTATTTTCGCTTTACACGGCAATTTGAGCTATTTTCATACGATGGTATTTTGGGCTCAAACTTCACATTTAAATTTTTTTTTGGTTCTGAAATTTATTATTTCATTCATACAAATCAATTATTAACAACAAAAATACGTTTTAAATACATTATACCAAATATAAATCTTATTTTCGCTTTACACGGCAATTTGAGCTATTTTCGTGAGAGTATTTTCGGCTCAAACTTCACTTTTTAAAATATTTTTTTTTGTTTTGAAATTTTAATTTGCTGTATAATGATTCAATGAATGCATAAGTATATTACTTACATAATTATTCCAACAGATTAATGCACTGTTTCAAAAATAAATCTTATTTTCGTAGCCGCGATCTTATTTTCGCGAAAATAGCTTATTTTCGGTATCCATCTATACCCCTCCACTTTTCCTTTTTCTTTCAGATTTATTATCTTAATCAAAGGTTTATGTCACTAGTCTTTCATATCTGGCAACATTATTTACATTATCTATAACCATATCTGTTAAATCAGAGTTGCACAACTTCTACAGTCTATGAAACTACTTGCAGGATCAAGCTAATGGAAATGTATTTGCAATTTCACTTAATTTCACTTTTGCCAGTTTTGGTATAAAATTCAAGTCATAATTACTAAATATCATATAGGTGTTGAGTGCAGAAATAGGGTTAATTAAGCAGACGTAACTTACCAAGTGCAGTAGGTGAAGTTATGAGATAAAATGGATTTTTTCATTTAATCAATATTCATTAACAAAATTATAGTCAACTTATTATCAAATATGCAATTTTACTAAATTTCACTTTTGCCAGTTTAAGTAAAAAAATCAAGTATGTACAGTAAATATCATAATAGGTGTTGAGTGCAGAAATAGGGTTATTTAAGCAAGCGTAAATTACCAAGTACCAAGTGTGGTAAGTGTAGTGAATGAGATAAAATGGATTTCTCATTTAAACTATATTTGATTACAAAATTATAGTCAACTTAGTTGGTTAAACCACTGATTATCACTCCTGAGATCCCGGGTTCGATCCTAGGTTACACCGTTGGGATTTTTCAAAGACACTTTCAGTGTTTCCCACCTACCTAGAGGTGTACTGGTAAGAAATTCAGGTAATCCTCGCATGTATACACTGGGCATGTAAAAGAACCAAGGGGTCTATTCATTAAGAGCTAGGGACTGGTTCCCGGATTCCCTTGTATCTTATAGCTGTCTCTTAAATGTATACAATTTATACCTGCTTAGAGTGATCGAAAACGATTTTAAAGCAGTATAATGTAGAAAAGAAAAACTTTAATAATTTATCACATCATCACTGGCTAACTTCACTGTAATGACAGAAAGTTGAAATATAATAGGCATACAGTTACTCTTACAGTGTATAAAGTTTTTATGATAAATCTTATGAAATATTTTATATATATTATTTTTAGATCCCAATGTTTGTTTCTTGAAAAGTTTGTAGCATATAAAAATTAGAATTGTGTAGGTAATAAGGTAATTTAAATTTCATTGTCATGAATATTGAACAGTTAAACAGAATAAAATGTTAAACACAACAAATATTCTGCTGCTATTATAGTAGTAAAAACTATGTTTGGAGATGTTTTTACACATGCCTTATTCAGTTTGAATTATGTATCATTTTAATCACATTAGAAACATATATTTCACAATCCACGGACATAGAATTTATAGTTTATACACTTAAGAAACATTGTTTTCAGCCAAGATATTTCTGATTTTTTTTTTAAATCGGCATTTTCTGAGTACTTTATTCATTTTTATAAATCTATTAAGATTAGAAAATGAAATGAAAGAACATTTCTAATTGTTCTTGTTATTTGAAATTTGTAATTTCATAAAAGAATTTTTCAGACGTTTTGCAAAAATGCATAACAATTAAAAGGTTTTAACTAAGACATGAAAAATGGACGTTCCATTTGATATGAATGTTTTAAAAAAAAAGGAAAATATAGGTAGTGTTATTATGTTTTTTGTTACATACCATAACTAAAGATTATTTTAAAGATTATCTTATCTTTGGCTTATTACAATGGACACGTATAAATGAGCTCTTCAAGGTAGAGTCCTTATGAAAATATTATTTCCAATTCTAGAATTATCAGTATAAGTACCTAGTTATTTAATGGTAATGTACATGACTACTACAAAGTTTAATTGTAGTACAATAAGAGACAAGCATTTTTATTTCTTTTTTTAACTTACAAGTGTTGGAGTGTTAGCACCGTTATTTAGTATTTACATAATTGTGTGCGTGCGTGTGTGTGTGCGTGTTATTGGTAATTGAAATAATTTATGATGACAATGTGTTTATTCTCAGCTTCCTTATCAATTTTATAGCTGGCCAATTTGATATGTATTGTTTTAGCCTCTGCATTGCTTACTGTAGGGCTATCAAGGCAGTCAAAGTATTTAGGGCCACAAAAACCCTAGTAGAGTAGTGGGTCACCCATGGCAATAATTACTAGCTAAAAACTTATATTTAAAAGTAAAGTTTATTAATATTATAAACTTTGTACATACATGATGTATAAGATATATGAGAGAGTTGATTTTACTTGAACATAATTCATGTCTAAGCTGTCTTAATTGCAAGGCAAAAGCCTGAGACCCAGTACCAGTAAATGGCTTATCAGGCCAGGCTAGTTAAAAATCTACTGAAGGAACAAATCGAGATCTGGTTACATGTACTTACAATAATTCTGTTTTAGAAAATGTTGTTATATGCAAATATTTTATTGCAAAAACGAATATTTTAACGGCAGTTGAAGATTTTATTTTTGATGTTCCTCTGATTACCATTATGCTTAACAAAGAATACATATTGTTTTATTTTCTTTTTAGGTCCATTCAATGAAGTGGTTACAGCTGATTTGAAGTTAACCAACCCCTCAGATAAACGAGTATGTTTCAAAGTGAAAACTACAGCACCAAAGCGATGCTGTGTCAGACCAAACAGTGGTGTCATAGAGTCAAAGGGTTCAGTCACAGTGGCTGGTATTACTTATTTTCAAAATCTTTTGTTCTATCATATGCATGTAATTGTTATGTTCTTTTTAACTTTATAAAGTAGTATTTGTGTTTTTCATATGATTTATGAATGTTTTGACCCCATTTTATACTGTCAAAGCGTTAGAAAAAGACACTACGCATCCAAATGGCCATCTTAATGTCTCTTTGACAAGTGTATTAGGATGGAGTTTTGAGTTCAAAGTTAGATCAACGGCCATTCAATGGTGCTAAAATTTTTGCTCTTTTTACTTTTAATTATATAGACTTTATTAATTTCATATTTTGTAGGGATATCTCTTAGGTGGACTGGTCCTCTACCTTTGGCTTTAGGTTGACTGGATGCTAACTATGTTTTAGTGTTTATTATTAAACCTTTTTATCCTGTTACCATCTTTACATGATTGGTCATATTTTTGTTTCAGTTATGCTTCAACCATTTGACTATGATCCCAACGAAAAGAATAAACACAAGTTTATGGTGCAAACAATGTTTGCTCCTGATGGCAAAATATATAATCAAGAACAATTAGTATGTATATGTTGTATAATACATTAATCAAAAAATAAATCTGACTTTTCAAACAAATAATAAATTATAATTTTTTTATTTCTGTAACATAGGTTTTAATAGGCATTTAACATTTTAGTCATTAAAAATTTTAGGCACGTTAATTAATTCATAGCTATGCAATAGTCTGAAATGCTATAAGTTTCATTTCATTGAGGTGATTGGAATATAGAAATGCCTACAATAATGATGTAGTGTGGACATTCATAGGAAGGCATCAGCTGTAGTCTGAAAATCTGATGATTTTAAATATTTATTCATATTTAAAAATACTACAATCGGATAAAGAAGAAGAAAAAAACATTGTTGGGGAAATATTAAAACATGATATTCTGATTAACATTGTTGGATATAATATTATTATATTAAAATATGATATCATGATTATTTTTAGTGGAAGGATGTATCACCAGACCAGTTGATGGATTCTAAGTTGAAATGTGTGCTAGACCCCACTGGGAATTTATCAGTAAGACTACCTGCTTTTAAATAATATTAACTTCATGATATACTGTATATTTGCCCATGTCATGATGTTAGTTACAGTGGTTTTTAATGTTTATCTTTATTACTGACTGTATGTTGTCCATAACATTGTCAATGATGCAGGACTTCATTAAGTTTCAAAATTTGGAACTCCAAGACTGCAAAATCTCATATGTATACATGTAGTGCTGTGCCAAGGTCACATATGGGTGAAAGTTTGCAGGATTATTCCTGAAGTTCAGGATTTTCAGTCTCATGAAAGCCTTCTATTTCCTATGTAAAACTGTAGAAAAATTGCTAAATTCATGATTTTCAGGATTTTTAAAATTTCCAACTTTCACCGATGGTCACAGTTTTATGGTGTATACATTATTTTTCACACAGCACTCAAGGCTGTTTATCACATTATATAATGGTGGATGGGAGTCATCTGTAACCTATGTATGGGGACAATGCTAACTACTATATGAATCACTGCTCTAGACTGAAGCTTTGAAAATCATTTTTCTTGAATTTTGCAATAATTATTTGTTTTATATCCAACATCATACTTGCTAAATTGACAATAATTGTTTTTAAACATTTCCTTTCATTCAAGCACAACAGGATGCATATTTATTGTTTTAATTGCTTAAGAATGACAGATTAATTTAAAAGTAATTATTGAATTCTCTATATACATTTTAGATAGCATTTTTATTTTTTAGATTTGTAGATCATTTTTCATTTATTGATTAATATGAAAATAAGAAAAAATTTATTGAATTCTCTATATATATTTTAGATAACTTTTTTTTTTCAAAACTCATTTAACGAATTTGTAGATCATTTTCCATTTATTGATTACAAAAATTTCATGATTTTCTATACATTTTATTCCAGTCACAGAGTTCAGTGGTTGCAGAAGAAAAGGTAAAAGCTGTTAAACAAGAAAACGTACATACACGGCCTGACCTCCCAATCCCCCGCGAGGCCAGTCCCGCGTCATCCCAAAAAGTAAGTTGTTTTATATCTTTTTCTGATCTGAAACATTAACAAGATTTAGATTAACACCCAGAGCTTCGGCGCACTGCTATCAGATACTGTAGTTACTGAAATAAATGCTCTTATTATATACAAAAAATATGTTGTTAATATTGAGTTAATGTTTTCATATTTTGATGTGCTTCTTCTGTTGTTTAAAATATTTTCATTTCTCTAATACTTACAAGAATACAATGCCTTGGTAAGTATAGGTATTTGTAAGTTTGCTTTGACAAGTGAAATGATTTTATGAATCATCAAACAGGAAAAATAAACAAGCACATACCTTTTATTCCTTTATTGTGTGTAAAAAAGTCTGACTTTATAATCCAATGCATTTGTATATGTGTTTGCTTTTTGAATGAACATCAATCAAAGGTTTAGAATTGTTGACATTCTATGCCCCACTGTTAAATCTGTATTATCATTGAGTTATTTATCTGTGTAAATTTAACTTAATTATAGTTTTGTAAGAGCATTTATTTAAGGAAATACAGTATTCACAACCTGTATTCACCCATATACCAACAACCAATCTATTATGTGCATTACTGTATTCATAAGGTAAATAAAGGTGGGAGCGGATAATACTCCAATGATATACTTGCAAGGTAATAAAAATTAAAATATAGAAAATGGTTATGTCAAATTTGTTTTGGGCAGTCAATAAGAATGTAATCCATTATTTTAAATTATGCTTACATTGTTTAAAATCCTTATTTTATCATTATTGGTATTAAGAGAATGCACAAGGGTTTAAAATAGCTAGTATTAAATACATCTGTAATACTTGGGACGCATATGGTAGCTTACTTCACGCTTGAAAGAGTGGTTGCACACTGGTGAACAGAAATATACTGTAATATTGGTGAAAGGGATTTAACCTGTGGGAATTGTTGATGATATAATACACCTTCCTAATAGACCATGAATTAACTGAGAATAAGCCACACCCCTTTTTATGCCCCCGGGCATATAGTGACTGAACCGTCCGTCCGTACGTCTGTCCGTACGAGGTTAACCTAGAACGGCAAGTTGGATTTTTCTTAAGTTCTTGTACCAATGGCTTCAAAGTTTACACACTTACTAATCAATACAAGGTACACGATCTGGGCAAGTTTCATAACTCTGGCTTTCATATTTACCAAGTTATTGCCCTTTTCAGCACTTAGAAAATGAATAATGGTTAACCTAAAACGGCAAGTTGGAAATATCTTAAGTTCTATCTATACTAATGGCTTTATAATTTCCACACTTACTTATCAATACAAAGCACATAATATTGCCAAGTTATAGAACTATGTCATCCATATTTCCCAGTTATTTCCCTTTTTATGCCACCGCAGCATCTACGATGAGGTGGCATATAGCGATTCACCTGTGTGTATGTGTGTGTTTGTGTGTGTGTTATATAGATTATATAGTGAACTTAAAAAATCTTCTTGTGAAAAACCGCTAGTCTAATTTCAACCAAACTTGGCAGGATTGTTCCTTGGGTGAAGGGCTTCCAAAGTTGTTCAAAGAATTTCATTCCATGCAGAAATCTGGTTGCCATGGCAACCAAAAGGAATTATAAGAATAAATTTAAAAAATCTTCTTGTAAAGACCCAAAAGGCCTAGAGCTTAGATATTTTGCATAAGGCATTGTCTGGTAGACCTCTAACAAGATTGTTCAAATTATAGCCCTGGGGTCAAAATTGGCCCCGCCCCGGGGGTCATTGATTTTCACTATGTACATATAGTAAAAACTTAAAATACCTTCTTGTAAAAACCCAAAAGGCCACATCCGTGTTATTTGTGCCGTGTGGCGGCTGTAAAAAGTCTCCCCGTACATTTAATCAATGATGTTATATTTTCGATCCTTGAAGATCGTTCAGCACGACATTATTGTTGTGCTTGTAGTATTTTTAGTTTCATTTTTTCGGCATTTTCTAGTTGGGTGGTTCCAATATTCCTACTTGAATAATGTTGAATCACCCTTAGGATATGTTGCCTGCTTTTAAATTTGTCTTTTGACGTCTTATCTGTGATACGCAGGCTTCATAACCTCTGATCCCCTTTCAAAATTCCATTTTATTTAGTTCCGCCCATTGTTTTCTTGTTTAGGGTACACGCTTTTTATTACTTGGGGACCATACGCCGCTTTTCATGGAATGGCACTACTGTGTCACATTGAAGGTTCCATGATAACCGCCGTATGAACACATCTACGGATGTTTCTAAATTCAAAATTTTTACTATTTCATATTTAAATGTTGAATTCTGCTTAAGCCGGTGCTAGGGGGCGTGGACGGTAACTTGCACTTTCCAGTACCGTCCATGAACAGGCTCAATCAAACCGAGCCTGCAACATTTTCAATTTTGCCGTGTTGGGCTTTCTTTAGGGATTCTGTATTTATCTATTTTAGAGCTTAGATATTTTGCATAAGGCATCATCTGGTAGACCCTTACCAAGATTGTTCAAATTATAGCCCTTGGGTCAAAATCGGCCCCGCCCCGGGGTCATTGATTTTCGCTATATCTACATATAGTAAAAACTTAAAACACCTTCTTGTTAAGACCCAAAAGGCTTAGAGCTTAGATATTTTGCATAAGGCATTGTCTTGTAGACCTCTACCCAGATTTTTCAAATTATAGCCCTGGGGTCAAAATCGGCCCGCCCCAGGGGTCATTGGTTTTCCTTATATGTATATAGTAAAAACTTTTAAAAAATTCTTCTAGCAATTGACAAATGCTAAAGGTTAGATATTTTGCATGAAACATTGTGTTGTAAAACTCTAGCAAGATTGTTCAAATTATAGCCCTGGGGTCAAAATTGTCCCCGCCCTGGGGGTCATTGATTTCAATATATACATATATAGTAAAAATAAAAAAATCTTATTGTCTGAAGGTACAAGGCTTAGAGCTTTAATATTTGTTAAATAATATCATCTAAAGGTACTCTACCAAAGTTGTTCAAATTTTGCCTCTTGTGTCAAAATTAGCCCCGCCCCTGGGAGCCATAGGTTTATCCTATATTTATAGTTAAAACTTAAAAAATCATCTTATCTAAATTTACAAAGGATAAAGTTAAGATATTTTGCATGAAACATTGTGTAGTGGACCTCTAGCAAGATTGTTCAAATTATAGCCCTGGGGTCAAAATTGGTTCATTGATTTTCATTATGTACATATACTGAAAAAAAAAATTTTTGTCTGAAGGTTCAAGGCATAGAGCTTTGATGTTTGATATATAATATCATCTATAGGTCCTCTACCAACGTTGTTCAAATGTCAAAAATTGGCCCTGCCCGGGGACAGTGATTCTCATTATGTACACGTAGTAAAAACAGAAAATAAAACAAATGTTTTCTGAATGGGAGAAAGCTATAGCTTAGATATTTGACTTGAAATGTTGTTTGGTGGACCTGTATCAAGATTGTTATTAAACCCTTGGGTCAAAATTATGCCTTGCCCAAGGGGACAGTGACCTACTTTCTTGTCCTTTGATGTACAGCAATGACATTTTGACCATGTGCACAGTTTTAGTTGTAAAATTGAATTTTGACCTAGATTTTGATGATGTGACTTTCTTTCTTGTCCTTTGATGTACAGCTATGCAATTTGAGCCATGCGGTGGCATAGCATTTTTCTCAAATGCAATCTTGTTTAACCTGCACTGTATATATTCCTCACTATTTTTACTCTTTCTTTCCGTCTTGCGCATTAACCTGGCAGTAAACTTCAGTAAGTTGAAGGTGGCCAGTATATTGGATAAAGAAGAAGGGGGGAAACTTATCTTAATTTGTGCCTAATGGAGTTATCCTTTGCGCATGCGCAACAGAAGCACGTGAAATCCCTCATGCGATAAATGTAAACACCTGCTTGTTAAATATAAAGGTGAGAACGATTATATCTAATGTGTAATTTAGATTGAAGAAATTCTGTCGAACGTTTTCCTTGAATGATATCGTTCTGAAAAAAAACTCACCTTCAATTTTGAAGAAAATGACGTAAACGTAAATAACCGTATTGTCGGATACTACTAGCCGACGGATACTGCTTCGATACCAATACAACATAAAGTGTAGAATGGTTGTGAATAGTAATCTGACCTTCTTTCTTATAATGAAAATTAAAATTGCCCGATATACTGATGACCTTAACACGAAGAACGTTTCTAAATGTCGTGACATTTTATACAATTTCGACATAAAATCCTCTACGACTTTTTATAAACTAACGGTTAAATTTTCAGCGGCTTTAAAATGGACGCTACCGGCCAGCATAGGATACTGATATGAAAAAAATATAGTTTTGTTATACAAATGAAAATACTACGATATCACATGTGAAAGTGAAACGAGATAATGATAAAGTATGAAAAAGGAACAGAACATCATTTATCTCGTTTCACTTTCGCATGTGATAGCTTACTTTTATCCAACTAAAACAATTAGTATTAAAAGAAACCATTACAGTTCATTCAAATAAGAATTCTTCATGACGTCATTTTCTAAACATAATAATTTAACGATGTTGCTTTCAGGTAAATACAACTATATATTCCGTTTCGTATATAGTTGTTACTTCATATAATTTGATATTAGTTAATTCTAACAGAGACATGTTATATGTACCTGTGAGAAAGCTATTCAACTAGCTTGAAAGGATATAAGTTATGTACAGTATATTGTGTGCAATAAATGGCAGATATAGTATTATGCATACGAGGCCATTTAAAAAAGATGAACATACAATACTTAGACAGACATGCTTCCTGATTCATTTTGACGGATAATCCTAGGATAGTTCTTTTAACAATAAATTGCATAAGCTTTATCGTCCATTATGATATGTAGTGTGTGTTTGTTATTTTCAGGCATTAATAGCAGTGGCAGTAGAGTTCAATATGGAGACATCAAGACTGGCATTCTGCTCTATACACGATTACAATGAAGGTTCGTTAAGACTAAAATGCAAGATATGGTCAACAATTGATAGTTTTCAAACTATATCAGCGCCTATTACTGTTATCATTAAACCGGATGGCAAAACTTTACATGGATATGGATATGACGCGGAAAGTCTTTATGATAAACTTGAACTAGAAAACAAACACAAGTATTATATTTTCAAAGACATTTCAGTAAAATTGGTAAAATCATTTAAAGAGGTAAGTTTATTTTATACATCTTAAATGCTTAATGCATTTTCATTCTAGTTTATAAGAGCAATTGCAAAACACATGCGATTGCTAGCTTTATGTAGAATTTGTAATATTTGAAGTACTAAGTTTCGTCTTATCCGTGTATTTAATAGATGACTCCAGTATGAACTTGAATTTCAAATATAGCACAATATGCCATAACGCTAATTGCGTCATACACAACCGAACTTAAATAACTATTTCTAATGTTAGGCAGAATATAAAATAATCTGATTGAACTAGCATATTCACATGCGACATTTACAAAAGCTAGGAATCTTGCAGGCGCCAGTCAATTTTAGCATCATTTAAACTGAAATTTATTCCTTAAATTGATTTTATTTGTCTCACTATGTGGTATATTATGCCCAACGAATGAATGTATATAGATAACATGTATTCTCGATCTTTGTTGTGTATTATATTGTTTTCCCAGACCAGCGACGTTCATCTGATAGATGAAAATGGAAAAACACTGCCGGCCTTAACAGTATTGACACTTGTTATAAAATTCTTCAAAACTGAAATTCAAAGACTTTGCAAACATCATTTTGAAGAGGACAAATACTACGTAATTATCGTACCAGAAGTATTTCAAGAAATTGGGGCGATAGATTTTGTAAGGGCAGCTGCTCTTGAGGTGTGTCTTTTTTAATTACAGTTTGTTTTGAATGAAGCATTAACAGACTAAATAAAACATTGGCATCTTTTTAATGAAAACTGAAATCTTTTTCTACATGGTATTTATTTCTCTTTCACACTTAACTAAAGAAATATCTTAATAGACAAGTGTATATTTATAGATATGATAAAACAAGACTTGTCACTTGCCAAACGTAGAATTAAGCGAGTCTAGACAAAAGTTTGATCAAGCAAGCCAATATCTGTCACACATCAAAATAGAATACACATAACTAAAATAACAATATTAATTTACAGTTTTAGCTATTGTTCGTCCGAAGACTGTCTAAACTCAGTTTGACTTCCTGTTAAATTTATAGGGAAGAACTAAATATAAGAATTTGCAATGGTCATTTCAATACTACAAACCGAAATCGTGCCATTCTAAGATAAAATGTAAATTATAGTTCTTGTTATTTCTAAAATAAAAGTCTAAGTACAGTTTTTGAAATTAAAATGTACAGGGTAGATTTTGCAGTTATGATACATGTCAAGGACAGTTCTAGAATTCAATATACAGGATAGTTCTTTAAATTTAACTTTCTATTTAAATTTCTAAGATATTTTATTCTTTTTAACCATACTTCATTCCACAAAACATCTTACACTGCGATTAGCTCTCATTACATTTTAGTGGACATTTTATTTTATGTAAGAACTTACTGAGTTTATTTTACACAAATATTTACTGATACGAAATAACGAGACTACCAATAATGTTCACAACCCTGTAAAGATACTAATGCACATTAACATATCAATAACACACAAGAAAATCAGAAATTATCATGTAGTGTCAATTTGTGATGTTCAATAAGTGTCCAATATTTTATTGGATGATTGGTATGTTCAACTGATATTATAATTCTCATATACATGTGTATTTGCATATTAATCAAGCATTTACAAATGTAACTGCCTATCGCGTAGATGTTTGTTTTCCATTTTCCAATTATCACAATAAAATTGCATGAGAATTGCAGACTCGGTTTGATTGAGTCTTTACATGAGCGATAATGAAAAGGTGCAACATCCTTTCTCACCCCTTGAACCGGCTTGAGCGGTACTAAATTTCCGTCACTTAGAAGTGCTGAAATCAATGCTTCCGAAGGACCAGAAAATATACGAACACTGTAGTGAACTATGGGGAAACTTTTTTCCAAATGCCACACAGCGCTTGACAGCTGCTGTTGTGAAGTACAAAAATCTGCAGAAATAGTGATTGTGATTTATCTTCCAAATCTCACCATTGACTATTCTGTCAATTGTTACAAAAGTATTTTTACATAAGAAAGGTTACGTACGATTGAATTCGATTTTTAGTATTTTAGTATTTCTCTCTGTTTACAAAATGTTGTTTTGTTAGCTACAAGAAATTATTATGCAAGTATTGCGAACATTTCTTTATGTAGTACAAAAAAAACAACTGAGAAATAACATATGCAAGCAAGCAAGTTTTTTCTTCGACGAAGTATCTTTTAAAAAGTAGCTTCAATCTTTGTTTTTTTCTTCTTTTATTAAATTAGAATTTGTATGTAAATAAATGCAATTTTGCACACACAATATAATATATGAACCGATATAGAGTAAATTTGTTCAAACAAAATATTTATATAACTTCACTATATTGTTCCCATAGATACTTAGCAAGTTATTCATACTAACCGTTGAAGTGATATGTTTTGTAACGTGAGTGCTTGGTTAGAGTGAATCAAAACCATAAAATTGCAACAACAATTGCACTATTGCACTTAGTCGGGCAAATATCGGAAATATTTCCAAAACAAATCTGGTAAATAAAATATTTCCAATGAAAGTTAACTTTTCTCAGTGATATACATGTATTTTATGGCAGGAATCTTTTAGATTCTTTAAGCATAACTACAATGTTTATTTATAGGCTGGAATAAATGTGAAACAGTTAGCTGTTGTAACAGAGATAGACGCGGTATCTTTGTTTCACCAGAAAGAAACACATAACAAGAAATCTAGCATTGGAAAGAAATTCATGATTGTCAATGCTGGAAGTAGGTTATTCATGTCAATAAAATTCAAATAAATTCAAATATACAATGTATATCTTTTTATTGTATTTACTGCTGATGGCTTTTTAATTAAGTTTTGATAAAGCATATGCATTCGCAAACACAGTTTGGTGTATTTTTAGATGAGAAATAAGGATAGGTTAAGTACAATATGAAAACATAAAATTTTATTCTCCCTGTGTTTGGATTTTTGCAGCACCAACTGTCTTTCATATATTATCCTTTAAACTTGTAAAAATTGTGGACTAAATTCTATTATATGATTTAATTTTAAAAGATTGACATTAAAAGATTTCTGTTTTTGTTGCACCTTTTAAAGGAATATACCAATCATTTCATTATATTTATTATGCAGATGTTCTTTGATTTATTCGTACATTTAGTTTAGTACATAGGTTGTTCATTGCATATTTATAGGCTATTTTACAACCTTTGTTGTACATGAGTCTACAGATCTTGGAATAGTAAAAGAAAGTACTGCTGTTGAAATAAAAGAAGGGGGAGGCAAAGAGTTAAAGAAAGCATTCAAGAAGTTTTGTATTAAGCTTTTTGGACAAGACGGATGTATAAAATTTAAGTCAGAATCAAAAGGAGAATGGTCGCAGTTGAAAAATGAATTCCTACAGAAAACATTCTTGTTTGATCCAGTAACAACAACTATTGTCAGGATAAAATTGCCATCACTTCTCTTGCAAGAATTAGAGAAAAAAAAGCGCTCATCCAAATTTTCTTCAAGACATAAATCAGAAACTTTTGAAAACATTTCGGTTTCATCTGATAAAATATGTGTTACCACTGAAATGATGCAGACTACTATTGATCCATCCGTACAACAAGTCATATTTGATATAGACAAAGCCATGTCGACTTCAGCTGATGTTGATACAGTCGTTGTCTTTGGAGAGTTCGCGAAACTACCAATGTTGAAGAATGGAGTAAAAAAGACTTTGTTCAACAAGGATGTTGTATTTTATGGAGATGACACCGAAGCGGCTTTGAAAGGAGCAGTTGTAATTGGTCTTGGTTTTGGTCAGATTGAAAAGATTGATATGGTAGGTTTAAATAACAATTATATTCCATGTGGTAAAAATCTTATAAATTTCATATGCATACTGAAAAATGTAAAAATTGTTGGTAAATATCATGTTCTATATAAACATGTTTATGTAGAGGTTCCTGGCAAATAAAAGAAAGATGACTAACCTTATTTGTTCTGTAAATTATCTGAAAAAAGCAGCGAATTAGGTATTGAAATTAATAAAAGAATTTGCTTTGAAGGAAATTAAACCTTGAAATTAAGAAAATGATATTGTCGTATATTGGATGGGGCGCCCGAAAGGAATGTTTGTTTGTTGGTAGTTTGCTGTTGTTGTTTTATGTCTTGATTTTAGCCGAATTCAACACATAAGCTCAAATCTCGGCGGTCGGTCCACCTAACAGGTATTCCAGAAAAACTTACCAGTAATTACCAATTTTTTCAACAGAGACTTACTACAAATCGCATATTATTTATGATAAAGTGATGGTTTTTAGGCTAGGTTTACATGTATACTGTGTTATCCGTTAGCTATTGACGTGCGCTTTTATTGCAAATGGAACCCCATTTTCATGTGTCCGATCTAAGCATATTAAACTGGTCTTTTTCACGGACAACAAGAAAGCTGCAAGCTCCTTTCTCTTTTATTTTGTTTTTTATTATCTATTTGTTTATTATTTGATTTTATATCTTTTTAAGTTTCACAATTATAAAAATAATTCTTGAAAAAAGAGGGAATGATCTGAATTTTTCCACACAAGCAAAAAACCGACATCGAATAGTAAATTACTCTCGGACAAACATTTCTAGCCTATCATGTATAAAAATTCAGTTGAGTACGTTAAACGTTTAACATAAAGTCAAAATATATAAATTGATTCTTTCGTTACTAATAGGTTCATAATTCAGCTATTGTAGCTGCAATTGATTTTGGTACTACTTTCTCTGGTTGGGCTTATTCTCTTCGTGCAAACTTCGACTCAGATCCGACAAAGGCATTTACGAAACTTTGGAACTCAGGCTCTTACCAAACGGAAAAGACCCCAACATGCATCCTTATAGGACCAGATGGAAATACAGTCGAAGCTTTTGGATATGAAGCTGAAGATAAATATCAAGATTTAGCTGCAAATGAAGAGCATACAGATTTTTATTACTTTGAACGTTTTAAGATGTTGTTAAACATAAAGCTTGGAGAGGTGTTATAAATGTTTACTTTTTTTAGTTTGTTTTTAACTGTTGGTCTACACATCAAAAGCATTTACATGACCTTTCTTTCCACAGAACGTATCAAGTTGTTCAACGTTAAATGAGATAATCAACTCCCTATGGAAATTACTTAAATATCTTGTTGTGTTAGGGTCAATGTGCATATTAAAGAAAACAAAACGTATTTCAAAAGCCAATTGTCTCAATCTATGTAGTTTTAAGTGATATCAATAGTTTTGCTCTGCTAAAATACAATACATTAATACCTTATTTTTACCACACAATAGTAACTTTGTGAATTTGTTGTTTTATTATAGAAGCTAGATAGAAACATGACACTAGAAGACGCAATGAACAGATCGATGCGTGCTATGGACGTATTTACAATGAGTATTAAGTTTCTCAAAGACGATTTTTTAGGTATTTTGCCCGACAAACATACTGGAAACGTCAGGCTGGATGATATACACTGGGTATTAACAGTGCCTGCAATTTGGAATGATGGATCTAAACAGTTTATGAGGGAAGCTGCGATAATGGTAGTTATGTGCTCGTGGTTTTTAATATCATTAACATAAATTATATTCACTTCAAAAACTAGCAATTATTTTAAAAAAACATTATTTATGCCACTTTATGGTCACCAACTATTTTTAAGTGATACTTATTAGCTCGACTATACGAAGTATATGGAGAGCTGTCCTACTCGCCCCGGCGTCCGCGTCCGCGTCCAGATTTTAGATTAAATATTTTTCACTATAACTTTGTCATTTCTTAAGGTATCAACTTCAAACTTCAAATATATGTTCCTTGTCATCAACCACATCTTATGTGACAAGGTTCATAACTCTAGCACCAATATTTTCAGATTTATCTCCCCTTGAACTTAGAATTTTCCTTACAAAATACTATTTTTTACTGTTACTTCTTTATTTCTTAAAGGGATCAACCTCATACTTCAAATATATGTACCTTATCATCATCCCCATCTTATGTGACAAGGTTCATAATTCTAGCACCAATATTTTCAGATTTATCTCCCCTTGAACTTAGAATTTTCCTTAAAAAATACTATTTTTTACTGTTACTTCTTTATTTCTTAAGGGATCAACCTCATACTTCAAATATATATACCTTATCATCATCCCCATCTTATGTGACAAGGTTAATAACTCTAGCACCAATATTTTCAGATTTATCTCCCCTTGAACTTAGAATCTTCCTCAAAAAATACTATTTCTTACTGTTTCTTCTTTATTTCTTAAGGGATCAACCTCATACTTCAAATATATTTACGTTATCATCATCCCGATCTTATGTGACAAGGTTCATAACTCTAGCACCAATATTTTCAGATTTATCTCCCTTTTAACTAAGAATTTTCCATAAAAAATATTATTTTTTACTGTTACTTATTTATTTCTAAAGGGATCAACTTCATACTTCAAATATATTTACGTTATCATCATCCACATCTTATTCGACAAGGTTCATAACTCTAGCACCAATATTGCAAGAATTATCTCCCCATAAACTTAAATTTTTTTACTAGAAAAATGTTATTTTTTGTTATAACTTTTTTATTTTAAAAGGTATCTACCTCTAACTTCAAATACTTATTCCTTATCATCAATTACATTTTATGTGACAATGTTCATAACTCAATAAGAAGCAATATTTACAGATTTATCTCTCTTTGAACTTAGGATTTTCTTTAAGAAATATAATTACTTCTTTACTTTTTAAGGTATCTACTTCAAACTTCAATTATATATTTCTTATCACTACACAAATGTTGTGTGGCAAGGTCCATAACTCTAGCATGACTATTTCTAGAATTATTCCCCTTGATCTTGGAATTTATGTTAACAAATGTTATTTTTTTAACTATAACTTACTACATAATTATACATAATTTATTTTTCTTTCATAGTTTTGTCCTCCTTACTGCGTCCAGTATTTTATTAGTCGAGCTTGGCTGTCTCCTGTGACAGCTCTTGTATTAAAACCTAACCGTTTAGACATAATATGTCACTTTATTATTTATATGTTTATTATTATATTTATATTTATTTATATATCATTTATATTATTAAAATAGTGTTAAATGAAGTTCAATAAAATATTACTTATCTTAAGAACTGATCATATAGGCCCTTATCCAGCAATTTTGGTAAAAGGCCCTGGCATAAATTCGATAGAAATATCTTCAACATTATTGGAAATTTGAGAAATTTTAAAAAGTTAAAAATCTGCGTTATACATGACATGTTTTGTAACATGTGTATGATCATTTAACCTGTCGCTTCTTTTAAAACAAACAAGTCAAACAAGTTCAATTTTCCTCACAAATTAAAACAGATTTGTTTTGCTGTTGTTGAGATTCTTTAAATTGAAAAACATAGGCCATTTTGGATAGTGAATGTGGTCATATTTCGCCACTAATAATTGCCAAAAAATATTTTTAAGGCTGGAATCAAGGGAAAAAGACTAACAATAGCTTTGGAACCAGAAGCTGCCTCGATGTTTTGTCGTAACTTACCAATAGAAGCTACAACATCCAAAACGGGTGTCAGTATTTCCTCGTTATCAGTCGGAACACAGTATCTGGTCCTAGATGCGGGGGGTATGTTAATAAATATATACATGTTTTGTTATAAAATACTTAAAGTAACTGCTTTACTTAGCTTATAATACTTTTTGTCATTGTTAAAACCTCGTTAGATAATTTTATCCATGAAATAATTTCATCCTTCTTTCAAACTAAAAAGGATAAATATTGTCAATGATTTTTGTCATTTGTAAACATAATTTCTATTGCTTAATTCCCAATACAGTGTCTCATAGCTACACAGCATTTAGAATTCTGATGAGAAATGACATATCATCCCATCCTATTGTTTATCTCAAAACATTTAAAGTACTATAGTTATACTTTTATATGTGAAATCTTTTAAACGGATACTAAATGTTTAAGATTATTTTACAAGAGCCACTTTTTTGATTTGTTTCCTGTAAAGAATATAAATAATTGAGAAAGCAGTACTTTTATAACATTAATAAAATGAGCTATTTCTTTTAAATATAAAATTGACCTTTTTGTGTGACCCTACTTAAAAAGACAGATAAATGACAAAAACTTGTCCTACAATGCAATATTTATATTATTAATTTTAAGGTGGAACGATTGATATAACAGTACATGAGGTAGATAATGATAACAATATAAAGGAAATACATGCAGCAAGTGGAGGTGGATGGGGTGGCACTATCGTCGATAAAGAATTCAAGCAGTTATTAGTCACTTTAGTCGGAAGAGATGTTTACGAGGAGTTTAAACGGGACCATACAGATGACTGGCTTGATATCTGGAGAGACTTTGAGGTCAAGAAAAGAACGATAACTACATCTTCAGATTCACCGCTAAGAATGAGACTTCCTTCCTCACTAACAGATAAGTATTATCATGCCACAAAAGAAAAATTACCCGATGTTTTGAAAAAATCAGAATATGCAACTGACATTAAAATTATCAGGGACAAAATATCATTTTCATCAGAACTTGCAAGATCGTGGTTCAGAACATCTGTCGACCGCACAGTGCACATGGTGCAAAAGTATTTTCTATGACCCGAAAAAGAAACCATGTTAACATTTCCCCGGTTCATTTAATGGTTAGTGATTTTTTTGAAGTCTCTATTTTACCAAGCGCCCCGTTAATCAGCATTAATGAATAAAAGATGTTATTGTCCCGAAAAGAAGCTCTCAAGCCTCGCGTTTTCAAAAGGAGCCAACCAATTTTTCGCCAGCTTGCCAAAAGTCGTAACTAACGTTTCTAAATATACATATGGGAATTGAACATTTTGAAGAAGTTTTCTACAGGGACAATCACCCACCAAAATTAAAACGTATCGTTACGGAGAACAACCCGGTATAGTATCAAAGTATTTAGCAAACATGCAGAAGTAGATCAAAAGGTTAAAGTTGGGGAACCACAAGTCTGGCGTGCCTACAATCCTCAATATAAATCTCAAAGAAATATGTCATTTTCTGTGTTTTCATCAGACATGCCGAACCCGATTTACACAGACAAGGGATGTACTTTGATTGGGAAGTTGCAGATAGACTTAGATGATCATGACGGGGCATTGGATCGGGAGGTTTTAGTTGCCTTCACATTCAGCGGAACAGAAATAGTTGTTGAAGCAAAAGATAAGAAAACTGGGAATCAGTCAATTCTGGCTGTTGACTTTCTTGGATAAGACATATCCTCAAAACGATGGCCTTGTTTACTGGATTATGGCAATGTTTTCTAACATAAAACACATGTTAAAAAATAACGCATTATCCATGACGGTGACTAAAATGAATTGTCAATGCATATGACAACCATTGGAACGCTCACAATTTGCAAACTTTTATCACTTTTAACTGTTAGAACGAGATAAAAAAAATACTCAAGCATTAACAAGGTCAAACTGTTTGTAAAAGTCTTAAAATAAGATCAATCCTTTCTTATAGAATAATTTACTGTTTAAATACTGATTTAAAAAGAAAGAATGAATGTATGAATGTAGAAATGTATGAATGAATTAATGCATGAAAGAATGAACGAACGAATGAATGAATTTATCAATCAATAAATGAATCAATCAATTAACCAATACAACAATCAACCAACTAACCAACTAAGCAATCAATCACTCACACAAACTATCATTTAATGAATCATTCAATGACTCAGTCAATAAATCAATAAATAAGTCAAATAATTAATCAATCAGCAGTCAATAAATTCATTCTGTTCATTCATTCATCAATACATGGTTTAATAAATGAAAATTACTGTTGTTTGTTTAATTTCGTGAGTAAGAACAATTACTTCGCTACGAGATTATGAATTTGTTAGTTAGATGATTAAGTGATTAATTCATACACCAACATATCGATATAATACAAAGATACATTTAAATTAACATGCATTTTTCAAAATTTTAAAAATTGGAATTATATTCTAATTTTCGTAGGGCCGTACGCTCTTCCTTATGTAACTTTTTCATGCCCAATTTGATTTTGAGGTCCGTAGGTCAAAGTTATCGTAGTTACCAGTAGGTCACAAGTCAATGTCACCATGGCCTTAACCCCTTTAATCTAGTCTTACATAGTAGAGATCGCTTAAGCCTAGAATCTTTAAAGAACTGTGCAGGACAATAACAACTAGTAGATGACCACTATAAATCATGAGGTTATTAAGTAAATGTCACAGTGACGCATGAAATACAAATGTTTTTGTTATAATGTGGATTGATAAGATGATTTCTGACTTTACTTGAACCATACACATGACCTTTCCAAAATTTTAAGCTTCTCTAAAAAACACTTGTTATCATAGCCGTTTCTTGAAACCATTTTTTTGGATTTTATGACTGCCTAATGCTGATATCATGTACATTTTCAAATACATTCCTACATGTGTCTTTTTGAACTATGTAAACTTTGTGTTACATACTTTTTGTAAATATATGATTTATAAATAGCAATGAACGTAAAGTAATTTAGTTTTCGTAGTAAATTACATTAGGTTATTTATTTTGCGATATGATTTGATGACATCAGTAATGCTGCTTTGAAATATAAAAATATCGCGTGTTCACATAGTTTTCAAATAATCCGGCATGTAAATATATGAAAACATTATGTAAATATCTTGCTTATCTATGTGTACATACAAAAAGGCGCCCCAACCAGTTCTTTCGGTGCTTAAATCTTGTTAAGGAGCCTTTATCAATATTCATTTGTTTGTATTTATATATATGTTTGTTTATAAGATTAGTTACAATTGTAATCATAGTAATAGAGTAACGTGTTAATTTTACATTTTCTGTCTTAGAACGGAAATTTATGTTCTGAAAGATAAATATTATCGTATGTCTGTTTTGATATACATGTACTGAATGTGTTTTTGAAGTTAAACGTGTTTTGACAGCTTTTTTTGAAAATCTCTTGTTTATTTATGTGTGCATACAAATGGCGTCTCCACCAGTACGTTCGGCGCTTTAATTTTGTCTAAGGCTTATCACTGAAACAAAATATTATGTACATGTTTGAATTATTCTATATCGTTGTAAATAAAGTTTGGATCCATGTTGTAATGGTTTCTTTTTTTATATTAGCGGGTTGATATTGATGTCAGTTTTACATTATACCACATTTATTTAACATCATTTTACTTTTGTTGTGTTTCATGCTCGCTATAAAGTATATCCGTACACTGAAATACAAACTTGGTTGGTAGAAGATCAGAGTACGTCAATGAAATCCGGTCCTCTATTCAAGGCCCATTGTGCCTCACAAATAATTTTATTTTTGTTTCTCAAAAGTTTTTGATTTTGGTGTTTTATTATAGTAATACCGTATAAGTACAATTTTGCGGGCTTAATATTCTGCGATTTTTGTTATAATAAGAGGCTTTAAATTTCTGCGTATCTTATTTCTGTGGTGTCATCATTCTCACACTGACGCGATTTATTTCTGAGTTTTAATTAAGATATTTGTACAAAATCAAACAATAAAAAAACTACATTTCAGTCGTTTTTGTTACATTTCTTATGGTTAAAAATGCTGACGACAGATGTGTTCGTTATTATCATCATGTATCGGTATATACACGTTGATAAACAAAAACAAACCAAAAAAGACAACATGCAAACACAATTTGAACAAAAGATTGTCGATCATTTCTTTTAAGTGGAGATTTGCAGGTGAGTGTAAAAAAAAACAATGACAAAATCGCGCATAGACACAAGATATTTTACACATACAAATTGTAAATTCAATTTTAGAACAGCAAATCATAAACTTCCAGTAGAAGTTGGAAGATACGATGGTTCTCCTTGTAATAATTGTTAAAAGACTTTGTACATTGTGTAGCGACAATCATACTGGAACCGAAGAGCATTACTTGTTACATTGTAGGTTTTTTCGGGCGGCAAAGAGAACATTTTCTCCAAAACGCAAATTTAATACACGAACACGAACTTTCGCTGAAATCACTATTATGGTCAAATGACATACATGTTTTAATTATATCATGAAAACTTTTCAAAAATCTTAATGCCTCCATATTTAATTCAAAATTTGATTTAATGTTACTTATTCGTTAATTTGTTTGTTTCCTTTTAATTGCTTTTTTTCTCAACACTTTCTTTGTATGTAATTACTTATTTACAAATGAAGTTATTTTTTCTGTTAGAAATACTTAGAGGATAATTTTTTCGTTTTTTCGTGAAATATGGAATATATTTTCACGAAACAATATAAAATGCCACATATTTTCACGAGTCGGGACAACCTATTTTATTTTATTTCATTATCATAGAAAAATGAATCCCCTTGCTTGCTACACAACTGCAATTGTACAGCGCGCAGTAATAAATTATATTATTTATAGTTGCGTTTTGTTTTGCACGCAATGTTTGGCGCTACATTGTGACGTCGTAAACAACTCTTCAAACGTATGTACAGCGTTGATGACTGATTCTAACACGACCTGCATTTTTCCCTATTGAACATAGAAGAACTGAAAGTGTGTTATTTGCAATAAAATCACTGTTTGACGTTCTATTTTAGACATATGAAGGCCCCTGGTCTTTTAACAGGGAAATAGACATTTTCGGATGATGCCATTGTTATTCATGTGCAATTATCATTATTATTTATATTTTGTCATTCTCCAATTTTGTGTTTTTCATATTTGTATTTGAATTGGGAAATTGTTGGCGCAGGGTACAGTTTTGAAAATTTTAATATAACTTGGTAGAAATAATCGCTACTTCGAGGTGATGAGCAGAGTGCAACAACCAGATCTCGACCAGCAAAAATCACAAGAAAATATCATAAACAGTTATATGGAATATCTTTAATTGATTTAAACTCAAAATGAGTGATTCACTTTTATTCTAAGATTTTATTTTTGGTTTCAGGTTTCCATGCCATGACAATAATAAACATTGAATTAACATGTTATAGCGATTTGTTTCATCTACTGTGATATTGCAGTTATCATTTTATGTATTTTACCCCTGATTAAAATGTTTGATACCTATTTGTTATGGATCATAGAGATAAACTTCACCATTGAATATCAACTTGTTTGAATTTATAACTCTTCATTCCCCAACTGTCTACATATTTTGAGTCTGACGATTTTTCACATGCTTTTACTTTTTGTAACATCCTTTCACTCTTTTCTTATTGAGGGACCTTATCCATCCCATGGAAGGACCTTTGGTCATTGTGTTATTTTTGTTGAAAGACTTTTGTTTACCGATTATTTAGAGCTTCTAGTCATGTCGCAATTTTCATCGAGGGACTTTTGCTCATTTTTCAATTAATCGATTGAGAGGCTTTTGGTTGGCAACTACCAAAATGACCAAGGATACATGGAATTAAATATGCTGTATCGCTCGACAGGAAAGTTTAGCTTGTCCTTTAGCAGTGGTTTGAAAATACAAAATTTACCCGAGGAAAAGCGGTGACTTTTAAAGGCCATTGTCCCTGCTGCTCCTCCCCAGTTAATGGATTAACGAGCAATTTGCAGGAAATTATATTTCATTGTAAGTTATTTTAACTAAACTGGTTCTATTTTCGTGTTTTCTTGAAAAGCAGACTAGCGTTTCTGTGAGTTATACCCATGCCGCAAATTTCATCTGGCACGGGGTTGCCAACCGAGTTGCAAGCCATTACAGAACGTCATTTTAGCGCAATTTATTAATAAATCGCGTTTTTAAAATGACGTCATTTCGTCGTATTTTAGAAAGGAACTGTGTGCTAAGGATGATGCCATTTCACCGTTGTTATTAAATTTGTGAATCCTTTTACTTTTTTCTTATTGAGGGACCTTATCCATCCCATGGAAGGACCTTTGGTCATTGTGTTATTTTTGTTGAAAGACTTTTGTTTACCGATTATTTAGAGCTTCTGGTAATGTCGCAATTTCATCGAGGGACTTTTGCTCATTTTTCAATTAATCGATTGAGAGGCTTTTGGTTGGCAATTACCAAAATGACCAAGGATACATGTATTTAAATCAGCTGTATCGCTCGACAGGAAAGTTAAGCTTGTCCTTTAGCAGTGGTTTGAAAATACAAAATTTACCCGAGGAAAAGCGGTGACTTTTAAAGGCCATTGTCCCTGCTGCTCCTCCCCAGTTAATGGATTAACGAGTAATTTGCAGGAAATTATATTTCATTGTAAGTTATTTTAACTAAACTGGTTCTATTTTCGTGTTTTCTTGAAAAGCAGACTAGCGTTTCTGTGAGTTATACCCATGCCGCAAATTTCATCTGGCACGGGGTTGCCAACCGAGTTGCAAGCCATTACAGAACGTCATTTTAGCGCAATTTATTAATAAATCGCGTTTTTAAAATTACGTCATTTCGTCGTATTTTAGAAAGGAACTGTGTGCTAAGGATGATGCCATTTCGCCGTTGTTATTAAATTTGTAAATTTATACGCTATTAAGAAAATAGTTATGGATGAAATGACAATAATTTTCATGAACAAATATCTTATTGAGGTACAGCATTTTAAATATGAACGAATATGGTAGAATATGCGAGAAAAAAATCTGACATTATGTCTCCGGTTCTAATCGGAATATCTCTCTCTCGGGAACCTGCCTACGGGTCCCCTCGGGACGGATATTCCGGTCCGAACCGCAACCTTATGACAGATTATTATTCCAGCACGACTTTCAGGGGTTTTTTTTGTTTGTTTTTTTTTTGTTTTTTTTTTGGGGGGGGGGTATTGTTGATAGAGAAATTAATATGAAATTTGGTGATTGACTAACGTCTGTGTAGCGAAGCAATGGGAGACAACTGCGTTGGAGAATGGTTTGGAAAATCCCGTCAATCTCTCAAAACATTTGTTGTTTTAACGTTATCTTTAATGTCCTTGTTTATCAAAATGGATAAGAACATTTATTTACATTTATCATCGTAACTACATGTATAGTTCTTATCATTGATAAGTTTATTTATTTTCTGATTTTGTACATAATTCTTCTGCCGGAAGTGTTATTTGACACAGAAGACGAGCGTGTGTTCTAGCAATAGTCTGAATTATGTAGACGATCAAAAGCGAAATGATATCTATATTTAGCTCAAAAGAATTTCATAATGACGGCAAGGATTTCAACATGGCGGCACCCTATTAACTAAGGATTTTTCTCCAACTCGTTAGATATATATTTTTTATTGATTTTAATGCAGTTTCAATTTAATTCCTTCACGTCACACATGTTATCTAAGAGCGCTACAGCCCTCGCGGGGCCTACGACCCCGCCCAGGCTTTCCAAGGCCGCCCTTTCGCATACACTAAGAAATAAGACACATGCTTTGAAGATGGTTTATTTTACCAACAGAAATGACATATGACATGAAAGAGAATGAAACTATTAGATTAATAAAGTTTGCAGGCCATTTTATCACATGTATCTTAAACTGAGACAATACGTCTTTTTAAAAATAAAAATGTGTGAAGTTAATGTTATTTGCATAGATCGATTTCAGTTGACATCAAATGTTTGCTTTTTTGATAATCTTTCTTGAAATGTTAAGCGAAATTCATTTATATTTTATAAATTTATTTTATGATAGAAAGTAAAACAAAACAAAAAAGATTGGTTGAGATATTAGTAAGTAAATGATAATGACATAACGTTATCATAGACGGGCTGTGTTTCTGCACTTCGTACGCTTCCATACACGCAGCTTAGGACAAACGCCAACCAGAAAAGGTTGAACGTGTCATTCTGTCGCTTTTAACCTTACACCCATAGCCCGATACATATCTGATGTAAACGTGGTCACCATGCTTGACATTAACCAAAGCAAACCCTGTCGATGGATGAATGCCACTTGCGTGTCCGGTTACGTCAGAATCGGTCATGATATTTCCCTTCACGACGCCGTTCACTCTTAATTCCGACACAAACCAGGTTTTCTTCTCGGCGGCAACGGTCCAGGTGAAAGCGTAGAGTCCCGATTTAGGAACTATATACACACCGGTATGGACACTGTATCTGTTACCAAAATTGACCGGTGCCCTGTCAAATATGATAGTGTTGCCCGTGTGATAACATCGAGTAACGCTTAGATAGGCGTAGAACGCTTTCTTATGGCCTGAATAAAAAAACAAATATATTTATTCTATATATTTTGACACTCATAACATGCCCATGATTCATATGCCACGAAATATTAGGGTGACCTAAAATGAGCAATTAGTTCAGAGTGGTCAAAAAACAGTTTTTCACACAGGCCGATAACCAGCACACCATTACTTAATCATATATGAGATACATTTTAGATAATAAAAGTTTGAATACATTGCTCCTAAAAAAAGACAGACATCAATTTATGTTTACCCCATCTGCCAGAAATCACACCTGAAATATACTAAAATGCGTCATCTTTAAGGTGCAAGATACTCCAGAATTCTCCCAATTCATTTCAAATTATCACTTACAAACAATACAACCAATGACATTTTTAAAAATGCCAAATTAACTGTTTGACTTTTTTTTGCGTTTAGACTTTTCACAAAATAAATCCAAAGTTTCTTACTTGTTTGGCCCCAACTGTCAGTTTTTTTTTTATTTTCAACTTCAATTCGGAGAATTATAAATACATAAAACGCTACAAAAATGTTTAGTTTCATGAAAATACACATTCGTACATTGATTAAGCCTTTGCAACCTTTATAGAGGCAGTCCAGTCTTCACATTAGAACAGTATGACTACGTTCCACACGTTCGGCTAACTATAACATATTATTAAATAAATCTTGCCCAAAAATGGTGACGGGAAGTCCTTAAAATTGAAGCATGGAAATTCCTAAGACTTGAAGCCTGTAGAGTCCCAAAATTGAAGGCAGGAAAGTCCATTTATAGAGTTATGGGTTGAATAAAACACAATGTGAGAAGTATTTTCCCGTGAATTGCTTATTATGAAAAGAACTTTAGACTGAAATATTTAAGGTATAACAAATTACAATTATTCATACTCACCAAACCCAGTCTCAGGAATCGAGGCGTCCTGTGTTTCTCCTTCACTCTGTGAAAATTCATCCTCCAGTATCTCATTGTCGACTTCTCCAGACAGACCGCCAGTTCCTGTAATCAAGCTTCTGAAAAACGACTGTGAACTCAGGTTTGCATTACTACTCTCTGGAAGTGACGCACCGAGCGTTTGTTGTAGCAGTAGTAACAAGCAGCAAACAATCTTCAACATTGTGATGTATTTTTATTTCCTGAAACAAAAAGATTAGATAAAATTTTATTCTTATTTAAGTTGGTTGCCAAGGCAATAGGTTTTTTTATAATGATTTTAATATAAACAGTTTTCGACTTTTTACATTATATAATCGCTGTTCTAATTACTTGCGGAAGTCTAGAGTATAAATAAAAGCAGTTAGGTTTTTTAATGATTGTTACAAACAAGTAGTGTCATGATACACGTTTTGGATATAGCACTCAGTACCACTGATAGCATATTTTTTGTTTGGATAGATCTATGTGATCAAAGCAAGAACTTATTCCAATTCCGTTTTTTCTGTTTCAATTGTAAATGTGTACATTCCCTACTCTTCCTCTGTGGTTCTAAATTGTTTATTTGAGGGTTGGTGGGGCATTGAAGCTGATTCTTTGCAAATATATTAAATAATAATATAAAAAGTAAATAAACAAGATATATGTATTAAAAAGACGAAGTTTTCCAAATATTTGAGATCTTTCACGGATATTTTGTGAAAAGGAACATCTAAAAGCAAAATATTAAGCTTACCTTGTTTCTTGCTTTTTCTGTTTTCAGATCAGGAGAAAATATGATTGAAAACGAATGCGTACAGAACATTAATACCAAAATATGGAGATTCCCCCTGATGTTAACAGGATCTCTTTCAAGAAAAATGGGTTTGTTCACAATCGTCTTTACAAATAATACGATTTCCTGTATTTTATTCATGTAACAAGTGGATCACCTGACATCAATTAGCTGTTAACTTTCAACAATTGTATTCAAATCATGGCCACTTTTTAACTGTTTCATTCTAATGTCGGGATAAAAACATTCATTGTCAAATGCTTGTCACGTGGAAAGAATTGAGTGTTTGATAACGTCATGGTGATCATTATTTTATTTGTTATATGAAACTTAAGGTATTATGTTATGTTTTTTCTTCTTCCAATTGTTTAAGATATATTATGTTGTTTTTTTTCCAATTGTTAATATGGACAAAGTCCTGATTATGTTTATTTATGCGAAACTGAAATTTCAATATTTAAATAGGCGACACTTAATCTATGCCAAGGCCAAAACAAACAAAAAATCAACTTTTATGTCCATCTCGGCTAAATGCTTTTTCGTGACGGCAAACATCGGAAACATTTAAAATATTTTTTCATTGGCAAGGGTAAATGTCGAGTCATCTTGCGTTAGATTGACATAGCTGACAAAATTGCAGTTAGGCCCGCCCATGTGGTCTCTTTCTGGTGGCAAGGGTAAACAAACTCAAACTAACACGCGGCACAAGTACGTTTAGTAACTTGTGCGTTAGTGGGCTATTCGGACTCACTTCACCATTGTTTGTGGGATTTTAAGAAGTCATTGTCATTGAGATCATGTGTCGTGTGCATGAATATTAATTGTAGCATAAATGTAAGAAATGAGTCTGGTTGACACTTGCTTGTCAAGGCGGTTTACAATAGTACATGCTTTCCACATAGCATGTGTTAGCTCCCCTGGCCACCTTTATTAGTCGTTAATCACTGTTAATAATGATTTTCGTATTATATACAATATTGCCCAAAATTAGCAAGGGATTGAATTATTCTAAAAATCAATAATTGTCTATGATTTAATTTATTGTTATTCAAAAACTTTCAGCGGGACGGTTTATCGAAAATGAAGATAATTATAGAGAAAAAAAGATGCCTTTGTATCATTGAATTAGGTTAACGTGGTTTCTGTAGTCTGATAATGCAGAAATACATGTATAGACTGACTAGCAACACACTGATTTATTTTCCTGCCATATTGTTGGAACAGTTTTCGAACATTGACCTCGTAATGCCAAGAAGTAAATTATAATGAAACATTGAAAAAAACTACAATGTATTGTCATTCCTTTGCCCTCTTACACCAAAGTAAAAACAAACACCAGTTTTATTTTAAAATTCAATTATTGTATTTTTCATTATTTTTTTTTAATAGCACACAGATTACCTGCCCGGTAAGGACGGTGAAAAAGATGGCGAATTGTCAGTGAATATTCCAGAAGTGATGATGAAGACAAACAAAACAGCAATCGGAACACTTTGTCGATAATTCATAACCTCAAGACTGCGCAGTGCCCACCTCCCCACCCCTTTTTCTAGATTATAGAAATGAATATCTAAAAAAATGTAAATAATGACCCGGTTTTAATTGATATTTGTTTATTGTTCAATGTTATTTTGGATTCAGGTATATTTCCTGATATTTGGAGTCAGGGCATTATTAATTCTTTACATAAAAATAAGGGTGACCGGTCTGACTCCCAACAATTATAGAGGATAACATGGATAACGATTATCAAAATATGCTTAATAGCAGACTGAATGAGTATTTGAATTGTCAAAATTTGCTTAATGGAGAACAAGCTGGTTTAAGATCACACTATATATATCTTATATTTTCTTTATAAATGTTCACAGATTATTATTTGAGTTGTAATAAAATGTTTTACTGTGCATTTGTGGACTGTAAGAAAGCATTTCACAAGGTCAATCGAATTCATTTATGGCACAACATTTTGTCACATAATATTGATAGTAAATAACTAAGATTTATCCACAATATGTACAGTAAAGCTCAATCTTGTGTTTAAGTAAACTGTGAGTTAACTAGTTCCTATTATAGTATTTCTGGTGTGCGACCTGGTGAAAATCATTCACCAATTTTGTTTTCTATTTTTTAATGATTTGTCTGAATTTGTATGTAATAAATACACGACTAGTAAATATATCAAACGCAACTTGTGAATGTCTTAGTGATGATGTCATAATGGTTTTAGTTGATCAAAATCCAACGACTTTATGTATAATGGTAAAAAAAACCTGATTTAGTTGATAACTATATTTACCTTGAAGTACTTCTTAATTATAATGGTCAACTTTTGAAATACTAAACGGTTCTTGTTCATCACACTGAAAGAGCAATGTTTTCTGTGATCCTAAAGTCTCGTAAATTATATTTACATATTCCTTTACAATTGCATTTATTTAACTTAGCATTTTTTCTAACAATAAAATTTTTAATTATGGATAAAACAGCTTTTTTTCATTGTTTTTTTTTTCAGCTATGTCATAAGTCACTTTTATATTACTACTCCGTGTGAAAGGACACTTTTGTATTAATACGCAAAATTGTATTAAGGTTTGGTTTTCGCGCCTTTTGGTTACCTTCTTCATATCACTCCAGAGGCGTATGCGTAACGGAGAAGGCACACGGCAGGTCAAGGTGAAGTCATCTCAAGTACCAGAGATGATTGGTTGAACAGTCGTGACTAACTCAGAAGGGTAGTGCTATTACAAAGGCGCGCCTGAAAAACCATCTTTTTGATTGGTCAGTTATCGTTGTCTTAATTTCCGTGAGATTTGTGGGTTTAATGAATATTGCAAGTAGCACGAGAGATAAGATTAAGAGGATATTTTTTCGTTTCAGTGAAATATGGAATATATTTTCACGAAACATGATAAAATGGCACATATTTTCACGAGCCGGGACGGCGAGTGAAAATTTATGGCATTTTATCATGTTGAGTGAAAATATATACCGTATTTCACGAAAAACGAAAAAAATAACCTTTTTATTTAATTTCATTATCAAAGAAAAATGAGCGAGACTATAAAAAGGATTGGAGCACCACACTTAATACCGTATTCCGGTATATACCGGGCAAGGCGCTTGAATCATAAAATTCTAAAATCTTGCCTTTTTACCCAACGAGCTGAACTTTACTAGGTCTAATTCATCTTTTCACACCGATTTATGTATGATAATGAATGGATAATGTAAAAATTGGCGAAAAAACGATATTTGTCTATTTTGTGATCATGATTTCCGCAAGCGTATAAAGGTACTGCTCCGTTAAATCGAAGAAAAATGGTGACAAACACCCTTGCTTGCTACGCAACTGCAATTGTACAGTGCGCAGTAATATAATTATTATTGTCTTGTTTTGCACGCGATATTTAGCTCTACATTATGACGTCACGTAAACAACTCTTTAAACGTCTGACTGAATTAAAGATATTGGTGTTCGAATTTATTTTCTTAGTTAGACCATTTTCTATCATTCTAGATAGTTTTTACAACAAAATTTAACAAAAGTTGTTTTGTATTTATCAGATTTTTCAAACAAAATGGCGAAAGAAGTCCCTTAAAATAAATATGAGTTTTGACTCCGCCCGCCCACTTTCATATTTATATTACATATCTAATTTAAAAAAAATAGGAAATATATTTGACTGATATAGCACCATATTTCATGGATAAAATTAAATAATAGTAAGTTATTCAGGAAAGCTGAACCGGCCACTGGGATATGATGAAAACAATGCTTTCAAATTGGCGTAAAATTAGGTAAACAAGCAAAAATGCATTGTCAAATCTCCTATTTATGCAATTTTCCTATTTGGAATTTTCCTCAATTCCTCAAAAAGCCCACCAAAGTAATGGCTTCAAACTTGAAATTCTGAGAGATTGTAACTAGGGCAATTGACCTCACAACTATAACTATTCCTGTTCAAAAAAGCATTATTTCCAAAGATATAACCGAATTTTACATTTCATGTTTTTTAAAAATTTAATAAAGAGAGGTAATTAGAAATTGATTTTCGATAAAGTCTTAGCCAAATTTTTCAATAGGTTTTAATTATTACTTATAATGCGAATAAACGTTTGCAGTACATATTCAACTTATTCTTGGATGTTTTGGAAATAGTTTTAGGAGAATAATTTATGTACATATATAAAAATCACTTAAGTGTTGTTACATCCTTAATTACAACATACAGGATCTTGAAGTTTAAACGGAAAAAGACTACCAAACGGAAGACTATCCACGCATCAAGGACATTTTAAGTAGACCGTTGTGATTTCTCGTTATTTATCAGAAAACAGCCGATGGACTTAATTGTATATCATTCAGGTGAATTACCCATTTCCGTGAATTGTTATATCATTTATATAGATAACAATTGAGGACGTATAGAAGGTCATAAATTTCTCCAATAAACAGGGTTGTATTATTCACTTAATAACAAATTGTAAGGCAATTATAATTGTTTTACTCAAGGTCGTTTTCAACAGTTTTGTCTTTCGAATTGCAGAATCATAAATATATAATGAAAACTTGAAATATTAACAGGGTTCATACAGCAGTTTATACAGATAGCCTGAAAAGCGTTCCTAGTTTTTTTTTGTTTTTTTTTTGTTTTGTTTTTTTTGTTTTTTTTTGCTTTGTGTATATGTTGTTACTTGTTGTGTGTATATGTGTGTGGGGGAGTAGGTTGTGTGTATATGTGTGTGGGGGAGTAGGTTGTGTGTTTCGTTTTCAGAGCTCGTTGATTTTTCCTTCTACTACAGTTGTTATTAAATCTGGCAAAAGTGAAGTCAATCATTTGCCTGCTAAGTATCTACTATAAAATGTTGTTACTTTCTCAGCGAAAATGTGAACATATTAATATTACTTTTTTATCATATAAATGTTTTGGACGATTTCTACTACTGCTGCTACTGCTAATGTTTCTACAGTAATTGCCACTGCTACTACTACACTGCTACTTTTTGAATAGGGAGAAATAAATTAAAATATCAATTAAAGTATAATAGTTTATTCACAAAGAACAATGATACGATTAATATTTTCGAGTGCATTGTAGGTGATTTAGATATAAACAT